CAAGACGTCTGCAAGGTCTTTAAATTTAATTATTAAAGTTTTGTTCTTTAGGTTTATCAGTGCGTCTCAAAATGTTAAGCTGAAGGTAATTTTTTCTTTTTTCTTTTTTTTTTTTTACACATAACCAGGACCAGCAGACATCCTGCAAAAATGAGCCCCAAGAAATAACTGAATACCACAAACCGGTCTCAAATTCACCGCTACATCCTGTCTCCCCCCTCTCCTCAGCTCCCTGAAACTCGGGATTTTGGGTACTGAAGTCTTAATCTCAGACAGATAGTGGCTCACAAGGTCAGAGTTGAACCGCGGCGTAGGAACGAGGTGGAGGGAAGGTCGTTGATGGGAAGAGGAAGAGGGCGAAGAGGAGGGGGAAGGTGAAGGAGGGGGAGCGAAGGAAGGGGACTGGTGAGAAGCACCAAAGGGAGGACAAAATCCACAAATCAGAAGAAAGCSACATTTAGATTTACATTGCTTTTGTTCTTCCRTTTTTACAAAGATTTCTCTTTTCATGGAGGTTTTTTGTTGTCYAACTCTAACCTGGTGTAGTACTGACTAACACCAGCCAGCGACGGGGTTCTTAAGTCAAACAAACAACTGGACTTCAGGACAAACTGTTTACCRCAGACAAACTTTATCGGCACAAAGACTAACTAAAAGAATACAGCAGGGTGGATACAACCGGGGTAAGAGTCACATTATGTTGAAACTTAAAACCCCAAAAAGACGTACTTCAAGGTATTTTGATCTGTCACATTCGATGACTCCTCCCCTGCTGCTCTGAGTGACAGCAACAYCTCGGCACAGAGGAGTATTTTTTCCCAAGTCTCTCTGGATCTAGAGTACGGAAGCCGAGAGAGCACGTTTTTCGCTGCTAATTTTTTTCAATGGTTTTCTATGTCGTGATCACGAAATAACGATGAGCAATTTTTCSGGAYAACAAGTTAATTTCCCAATGGTTTTCTCTTTCTGTGCATCWTTCAGTAACCATGGTCTAGTCCCCTCAGCTGGTCACCRATGAGTTTTACTGTCATAGCCCAGGCTGAAAGTGCAGTTTGTTTGTCTTGTAGAGATAACTTTCATATAAGCCCTCGTCATTTAAGGAGAYGGCTGGCCATACTGCAGCTCAACAGGTGTTTACACAGAAGTGATCCTGCTGATACAGTATTATAACCTTTACCGGTGACCMGCTGAGGGAACCAGGCTGTCTCCAAGGACTTACTAGCTGCCTGCTGCTCCACTTGGGTGCTTCTACGTTTGATGGGTCAAATGCAGAGCACCAATTTCATCCTTGCATGGGAACATGCATTGATGACAAATAAAGTACCTATATCTCGAGAAAACACTCATCGTCATTTTTGTGATAACAACATATTTAACTTATCTAGAGAAAATGCTCATTGTTATTTCGTGATAATGACATATTTAACTCGTTATCTCGAGAAAACGCACGTTATTTTGTTATAACGTTATTAACTTATCTCAAGAAAACGCTCATTATTTCATGATAACGACACATTTAACTTGTTATGCCCAGAAAACACTCATTGTTATTTTGTTAACTCGACATTTAACTTGTTATCTCAGGAAAACACGTTATTTTGTGATAACAACATAATTAACTTGTTATCTTGAGAAAACACTAATCGTTATTTTGTGAAACGACAAAATTGTGTTATCTCGAGAAAACGCTCATTGTTATTTTATGATAAACGACATATTTATTAACTCGTTGTCTTAAGAAAACGCTCATCGTTATTTTGTTACTGTAACTTGACATATTTAACACAGTTATCTCGGGAAAACGCTCAATATTTTTTGATACCGACATATTTAACTTATCTTGAGAAAACACTCATTATTTTGTGATAATGAAAAAAATTAACTTATCTTGAGAAAAAGCTCATCGTTATTTCATGAAAACCACATATTTAACTCGTTATCTTGAGAAAAACGCTCGTTATTTTGTGATAACGACATAATTAACTCGTTATCTCGAAAAAAATGCTTGTTATTTTGTGATGACATAATTAGCTAATCTTGAGAAAACGCTCATCGTTATTTTGTGATAACAACATTTAAGTCGTTATCTTGAGAAAAAGATCATCGTTATTTCGTGAAAACCACATATTTAACTCGTTATCTTGAGAAAACGCTCGTTATTTTGTGTTAACGACATAATTAACTCGTTATCTCGAAAAAATGCTCGTTATTTTGTGATGACATAATTAGCTAATCTCGAGAAAACGCTCATCGTTATTTCGTGATAACATATTTAAGTCGTTATCTTGAGAAAACACTAATTTTGTCATAACGACATAATTAACTCGTTATCTCAAGTTAACGCTCGTTATTTTGTGATGACATAATTAACTTATCTTGAGAAAACGCTTGTTATTTCGTGATAACGGCATAATTAACGTGTTAGCTTGAGAAAATGCTCATTGTTATTTTGTGATGAAATATTTAACTAGTTATCTAGAGAAAACGYTCATCATTATTTCGTGATACCGACATCTATAACTCATTATCTCGAGAAAACGCTCAGTTATTTTGTGAAAATGACATAAGTCTGTTTTCTCGTGATTAAAAAACAGAGACAAATTTTCAGAGGAAAACATCCACTCTTGGCTTCCACACTAGAGTGTCAAGCTGTAAGCATGCAAATGCTCACAAGCAGCTGTTTCTCCGTTAATYATTAATTACTCAACATGTCACAAACCATAACCACCACCTTACCAGTAATACCATATACCACAGTATTTTCTAAAGTTTATACTGAGGTATAAACAGGGTCAATATTGCCCAACCCTAGCCTTCAGTGTGTTAAAACACAGATCTGTTTTTCCAGTGACCAGACATGTTGGACAGTTCCAAATTTCTCACAAAATTTTGACAAAAAAAAAAAGATACACATCTACATAAACAGATTCCACACAGATTAAAATTACTCTGTAAGTATTGGTATCTGATCAGTGTTGTTTTAAAACCAGATTTTAATGGCTCCTTCTAGTGATTTTGGAAAAACTACACTTTTATGCCTTTATGAAAATATGCACTATATAAATATGAAAGAAATAACAAGCAATGAGTGTTAAACAAACCATTTTCTGTACAAATACACACCCTATTTAATCACACAGACCTATGATACTGTGAGGCAGCTGATAGGCTAAATATAATCCAGCAGCAGGAGGTTAATGAATAACCAACAGCACCTTTACGAAGAGGACTAAGGTCTAAAGAGTGTCGGAGGACTTCTTGTTTGTTGAAAAGTTAAAAAATGACCTACAACTCAACACAAACTAAAAACACCATTCATGTGCAGAAAAACCCAACACTAGCAGAATCAGAAAAACTAATAATTGGAAAAACTATCTGCAGGATAATACTAATGATACAAGTAAGTCTCTGGAGAAACACATTCCAGTTAAATCTAATTTATCAGCTGTTGTCATGGTGGTGAGCTCAGGTATGGTCAGGTAACTATGCCCCCCACCCCCTCGCTCAAGTACCTTTGGCTTTTTGCCAAACAGCCAGAGCTTGTTCTTGGTTCTGCTCATGGGATGTTTGGGGTCGGACCGTGAGCCCGGGCCGACGTCTCTCTCCCTTTCTCCTTTGGGTGTGTTGCTGATGGTCGCCTCTGGTCCGTTTTTGCTTATATTCTGACTGAAGTCTTCGAAGGGAAAGTCTCCGGGGGGCTCAAAGCCTGATTTAAACGACTCCACGACTATGGATGAATCCTGGACAAAAGGGAGAGAATAAATACRAAGGGTCAGGCTACGAATGAGGTGATAGTTTTCTATCCGTCGCCACGTACCCGTCGCTCATCCACAGCCTTGGCTGCAGAAACCATTCCGTCTAGACATTTGGACACGATGGGGATGACTCTCCTCTCGGCCTCGGCGAAGTTTCGATACGTCTCTCCGAGCTTCACTGTTCGACGTTCGTCCATGTCCTGCAGGTTCTGCACAGAGATCAGAAAAAGGCAGAATCATTACCGCCTCTGTAAGCCTCTTCTGTGTGTGAAAGTTTACAGGTCTGTCACCGTAACACAACTGATACCSAGCGAGCAGATTAGTCAGGTCAAGTTGCTGAATTAAACATTTGAYGGGACACTTAGACTCAGAGCAACACTTTCTCTACACATGATASTGGCTTACTTAAGTACTGAAGGTAATTAAACTTCAGGACTGATTCAAAATAATAGCTGAGTTTAACTGGTTCTGTCTCAAAACTCAAATCTACTCTGGACCTACTTGGTTTAGAGGTTAAAATCTAAACTTTAGCTTCACGTTCTGATATCGACAAAGACTTTCAGCCACTTCCTTACATCAGATATTTGATAGAAGGCTCTGTGGAGTCTTTTCAGCTGCTGATTAAATAGAAACAGGACATTGTGTGTATTGAGCAACACAACACTTGAAATGAAATGATGTGTATCCTTAAAARTTGTCTGAGAAAGATTTTATTTTATTTTTTTCTGGTTTTTTATTATTGTTTGAATTTCTTTTGATGTTAAAAAGGCACAGATATAAGATTTTTCTTCCTTCTGCTGCCTTTCAT